GAGCACCCCTTTGATTCCGCCTTTGCCATTGACGATCAGACCAAAAGGAACGTCTTCGAGTTGCTCACCATGGGTCTCCTGGGCCCTGCTCGCAGGCGGATGGACACTCAGAAAAAGCTTTCAGCGCTGAAGCGTGAGCTTGCCGTCGAGGAGAAGCGTTTTCACGCCTCCCTTCCGGAGCACGCCCAAAAGGTGCTCAAGGGGAAGAACATCTTGTTGTGGAAGAGGCTCCTTGAGGAGACCGGGTTCCCAGACATCACGGTCGCTGAGCTCATGGAGGGCGTCCCACTGGTCGGTAGGCCTAGTAAGTCTTCCTTGTATGGGTGGAAGGAGCAGCCGGCGACCACAACGTTGGATGATCTTCTTGTTTCCTCCGTGTGGAGGAACCCTGCGCTGGCGGCGAAGGGCAGAGTTGGGGACGACCCCGTCCTAGCCGAGAAAATCTGGCAGGCTACACTTTCGGAGGTGGAGAGGGGCTTCATCTCGGGGCCCTACGATTCGGAAGAGGACGTTAAGAAGGCCCTTGGAGTTTCTCACATCTGCTGCAGCCGGCGCTTTGGGGTGAAGCAAGGTGCAGGCGATGCTTTGAAGTATCGCCCCATCGACGACTTCAAGGAGAGTGCCATAAATTCTGCCTACCACGCGGTGGATCGCTTGCAGCTGCATGACGTCGACTATTTTGTTTCCTTGATAAGGTTTCTGGCGAACTCCGTGGACGACTCGGGTGCAGTCAATGTCGAGCTGTCCGACGGGACAGTGCTGAGTGGGGTTGTGCACAGTGACTTTCGATCGGGGCGGCGCTGGCTTGGACGGTGTCTCGATCTGGAAAAAGCGTATAAGCAGGTTCCCATATTGGCCGCCCACTTGCCCCTAGCCGTCATAATGGTATGGGACCCGAACACCAGCCGCAACAGATATTTTACCACTTGGAGCATGCCGTTCGGCGCATGCGCGGCCGTGTTTGGATTTAATCGCATATCCAGGTCGCTCTTACATCTGGCCTCGCACCTTTGCGCCGTCATAGGAGGCGTGTATTTTGATGATTATCCTATGATCGAGCCTGCTGAGTCTTCTAGGATGTGCAGCCTCTCGGTGGAAACCCTGCTTGACTCCTTGGGATGGTCTTATGCCGTCGGTGACGACAAGGGTCAGCCTTTTGAGGAAACCTTCAACCTCCTTGGCATGCGGCTGGGCGTTTCTAGAATCATGGACGACATCCTCGAGCTCGAGAACAAGCCCAGCCGGGTCCAGAAGCTCGTTGATGCAGCCAGGAGAATGGCTGCGAGTGGGGTTGTGAGCAAGAGTGACTCTGCATCCCTTCATGGCCAACTGAACTTCATGGTGGGCTTCGCTTCCGGCCGTTCCTTGAAATTTGCTGCGCGAGCCTTGTCAAACCTTTATCACTTTCCACGGGATCAGCCTGACGAGGAGGTGAAGTCCTTGGGCCGCTACCTTGAGTCTGCGCTTCTGAGCTTGGAGCCCAAGGTCATCAGGCTGAGGTCAGGCGGGAGGCCGGTGTCTGTCTTCAGCGACGCCTCTTACGAAGATGGTGTGGCGGCATGGGGCATTGTCTTGGCAGACCCTGTCTCTGGTGAGAGGCTGGTAGCTGGCGGGATTGTAGATGATCGCCTTGTGCAGTTTTGGCTTGATGAAGGAGTTGAACAGGTCATTTCACAGGCCGAGGCCTTTGCTTTGGTTCTGGCAAGGAGAGCTTTCAAGGACCACTTGCAGTGCCGCAGATGCGTGTTCTATGTCGACAATGATGCGGCGCGCTATGTATGCATTAAGGCAAGCAGTCCGAGCCGTACCCTCCTCTCCTTGGCACGCTCCTTTTACGCCAGTGAGTCTCATGACGGAGTCATTTCATGGCTGGAGCGTGTTCCTTCTGCGAGCAATATCGCTGATCTCCCTAGCAGGGGAGAGTGCGCTGAGGCGGCAAAGCTGATAGGAGGCAAGATTGTCGACTGCAGTCAGATTGCATCGGACCTGACTTCGGAAATTTTGTCCGTGGATGATCTTCCGTGGAGCCTTCTCGCTACGTCCTACAAGGACAAAGCACCTCCGATCTTCTTGTGACTGCATTCGGACGTCTGCTGGGGAATGACGGGTCCGTTGAAGGAAACAGGTTCGCCTGTGTTATCCTTGGATCGTCGGTGGTGCACATGTTTCTCCCCTTGATCTGATCGCAGTCCGAAGGTGCCAAAATAGCGAAGGTGTCCGAGTGATTGCAAGTGAAGCTTCAATATTTGAAGATTGCTTTTATAACATATTGATTGATTGGGCTATGCCCGAATATATGTTTGTTTTAACCACGTTTCGTAAATCACTAAGACGACGTTCTCCGCGGGCGGACAGAGTTGTCTTTGATTTATAGTCGCCCATAGAGGCGACGCGAAACGTAGGAATTTCAAATTTTACAACTTATTTAAAACCCGTGCGCTCTTGATTTCATGTCACACTTTTACTTTGGCGTGGAATCAGTTGTTCGAGTGCAAAAGCCTTTGGCCTAAGTTCAGTGTGTCCGTAGGTCACGTGTCAGCACAGGCACATAGCTGGGAAACACATTGCAGTGACCGTTGACTGAACAATTTTTCTCCCGCCCACCCGCCCGGGAATGACGGGTCCGTTGAAGGAAACAGGTTCGCCTGTGTTATCCTTGGATCGTCGGTGGTGCACATGTTTCTCCCCTTGATCTGATCGCAGTCCGAAGGTGCCAAAATAGCGAAGGTGTCCGAGTGATTGCAAGTGAAGCTTCAATATTTGAAGATTGCTTTTATAACATATTGATTGATTGGGCTATGCCCGAATATATGTTTGTTTTAACCACGTTTCGTAAATCACTAAGACAGCTGCTTCTGCCGGTTTGTGTACCAGGACTACGCGGCCTCGCCCAGGCTGCCGCCGGCCGCTGGTCTTTCAGCTGCAGGAGTGGGATGACCTGCGACCCTGCCAGGGCATCGATGTGTGCCGCTGCCGAATTCACGGCCTGGCCAACGCTCGCTTCCCGCTGCCCGTCTTTTGTCCGCTGCACTGCATCGTCCCTGCGAGGGGGGCCAGCTGGCGGATCTCACCTGGGTCGACCTGCCCTGCGACCACCGCAAGGGCGTGCTGGACCGCTGGGCTGGTACGCCAACCCCGTGTGCGCCTACATGCTCAAGGCAGCCCTGGCTGCCTGGAGCTGGTTTTGGAGTATGGAGCAGAGCTGGCCCGAAGGCGAGGAGGCGAGGAGCACTACGCCAAGCTGGCCATCGACAGCTTCGTGGGCCGAATCTAGAACTATTCCATGAATTTAAGACCTCAAACCATCAGATGGATGGGGAGGGCTGCAGCTGGCGCCAGACCTTCACGGACGCGGCCGAGGGGACACATTGGGATCACGTCTTTGTGACGGAGCTGCTCTCGAACAGCAGCTATCATCGCCCGGTTCGACTACATCATGGGAGCCGAGTACGTCGCAGCAGCGCGGATCCGCCAGGCTCTGGCGGACGTGCCCAGGCGGTACCTCAAATGCATCAAGACCGATTGTCTTGTGATGCAGGACGTCCCAAGAAGCACTGGCCCCGTGGAGCGGCTGCTGAAGATGTCGCACCGGGGCGGGCACGCCCGTCTATCGCTACGAGGAGGTCACCGGGCTGAAGGGCCAGTATCGGGAGCCGAGCATGGACGCGGAGCCCATCCGAGCGAAGTCGAGGTGGCGGCGAGTGGGGGACCCCGTGAGGGCTTTCCGGGGACGGGCAAGACCCATCTGGCCAAGAGGATCGTCGAAGCCTTGAGGGAGCACGGCTGCAATGCCACCTGGCTGGTCATCGAAGAACTCACTCACTTAGATACTCCATTGTGGGTGGACATAGCTTGTCTGAGTACGAACAAGAAGATTCGCTTCCTGCTGCTCGGGGACTTCCGGCAGCTGCCCGCCGTGCTGGATAGCTTCGCGGGCGCGGAGGTTTGCAAAGAGCTGAAGGACAGCTAGCTGCTGCACGATCTGGCGGGGGGCTGGTGCCACGAGCTCTCGGAGCTGGCGCTTCGATGAGCGCATCTTCAAGTTCTTGACCTGGCTGAGAGTCGGAGAGCGGGCAATGCTTCGCGGGCCTGGAGCTGCTGAAGCACACTCGGCTTTGCAGTGCGATTACGTATGCTTCGGTTCAGGGCTTGACTCTACGAGGGAGAGTGTGGCTCTACGAGGTGGACAGTCCGTACTACACGCTCAAGCATGTGTACATGGGCTGCTCCCGGGCCACCAACTTGGAGCTTTTGCGCGTCCTGTGAGGTTATTCGGGCTTCCCTGGAAATAGAAGCGACCCGACCGAATGTTGTACCGGGCCCAAGCGTTTCGAAGCAGGGTCTTAGGTTGATGGTCCCTGCTTGGCTTCCCTCTTCGCTGGCCCTGCTAAGGGAAGGCCTCCAGAGCAACTGGTGGGGATTATGCGCGGAGGTTGGGTCGCGTATTGGGCTCAGTATTTTCACTCTGCAAAAGAGGGCTGCGGTGAGTCGCAGTCAGGTTAAAGCCCTTTAGCTCAAACCCTCTTCTCTCTACACTGTACAGCTACTTACCTAGGTTTCCTAGTGTAGCCTACAAAAATCTCGCACCCCCCTTAGAGGTAGGGGTTTGAGAGAGCCTCCCGCGGGGCATCCCGCAGTCGGAGGGTGAGACGCCCCTGGTAGGGCGGAGCGTCCCGCGCACAGGGCTGGCAGCCGAAAGGCTCGCCCTGCGGTGCTACCCGCTAGGGGCCCCTTAGGGTGGAGGCACCCACTGGCGGGAGTTGTTCACCGCACTGCCGGGCTTGGTGCTCTGGTGCCCGTTGCGGCAGTGGAGACACACCCTGTGTCTGATTGTTGCCCCCTCCATGAATGGGCAACCTCGCTGTTGGCCGTGGTACCGGCGCACAACGCGGCCGGTGGCCACTTGAAAGGCGAACCGGTCCAGAGGAACTCGGAGTTCTGAGGATCTGCTGCACAGTGGCAGCGAAAGCCGATCAGGACTTGATCCGGCGGGACGGAGCTCAGCCCATTGCAGTTGGTGAAAAGATGGATTCTGTCACCACGGGCTGTCTCGTAGAGATGCTCGTCGTCCCCCGAAAGGGGTTCCGGTCCCCTACGCCTGCGCCGCACCCTTGGTGCAGCGGGCGGCGGTGGTGGAGGAGCTGCCGCAGGGGCGGACCTGGAGTCCGCTCACCCTCAGGTTCTGGCTCCTGAGCCCCCCTAGGCTGTTGCTCCCTCCTTTCCTCTTGCGCCTCTTGCGGCGCTTCTGGCCCTAGCCAGAGCTCCGTGGCCCTTTGGGCTGCACGCGGCGGCTCTTCGGCACGCTCGGCGTGGTGCTCGATCTCATCCTCGGGCTCCGGCTCCTGCCTGTCACGTCTGCACCTGCAGAGCCAGGAGACTAAACCCCAAAGCATCCACAGGAAGGCCAGGAAGCCTAGGGCCGCGAAGCCGAGCACCAGCTCTGCGAAGTCGTGCCCTTGGGCCTTGGCAGGTCGAACCTGCAGCGCCACGATTGTGGCCATGAGCGCCGAGCTCGTGAGCTTGGTCGGCGGTCTCATCTTCCAGGGGCTAGCTTGGATCGTCTTGATCGTGCCTTTTTGGGCCAGAGCCTCGGTGGCGCCTGCGACCGCATCGAGGTCCACCATGCCCATGGAGGGCAGGGATTGCCGCACCTCCGGTCCAGTCTTCGCGTGCTTGGTAGCGAAGTTTGCCGGATTTTCGGTTCCCTTAACTTTTCTCAGTTCGAGAAGTTTGGCTCTGAGCGCGCCTTGGACAAAGAATTCCGCGACTTCCAGGTGTCTCAGCTTAGACCCTGGTCCTATGCGCTTGGCGGCTCCGATCGAGGCTGCGGAGTCTGCCCAGAGCCGCGGCACGCCGCAGGCTAGGGCAAAGTCCTTCTCCGCAAGTTCTCGTAGGAAGACAGCCTCCCTTGCTGCTCGTGACACTCCCCGGATCTCCGCGTCTCCGCTGGAGGTGGCTGGGAGGCCGGGCTGTGTCTGGCAGCTTGTCTGGATGACTGCTCCCCCGAGACAGGCAACTATATTGTCTGTGCTCCTTCTCGTTTCTGGGCACCCTGCCCAGTCGGAGTCGGAGTAGACCTCCAAGTTCAGAAGGGCTGTGCTCTTGGACGCGGGGTCCAGCACAACTACCCTTCCAAACCGCGGGGTTGCCCGCAGGTATCGCGCGAGGGTTTCCGCAGCGAGCCAGTCGCAGACCCTGGGGTTCTGCATCCTTCTTGCCAGCTCTTTCACGGCGAACTGTATGTCTCGCCTGTCCGCCGACAGGTAGATAGCACTACCCACGGCGCTGCGGAACCTCGCGGCGTCACCCGCAGAGAGCTCCTCGACCTTGGTCAGGTCTAGAGGTCGGCTAGGCACGGTCCCCTTGTCTTTTGGACCGATGCCCAGCTGCTCGCACACATTCTCAGCGTGCTTGCTGTCGGGCAGCGTGAGGATTGAGTCCTCTGTGCGCACCTTGGTCCTTCCCAGGACCTCCACCGCTGTGCCCGGCTCTTCCAGTTCTCCCACCGTTATCTCACAGTGCGTCGGGAGGTCCACCTCCGTGAACTTCAGCACTGCGGCCTTGGGGCCTGCGACACGGATGTCGTCGATGTGGTGGAGAAGGATCAGGCCGGACCGGCGGTCTAGGTACACGCACGGGTCCTTCACGCCCCGCTGGAAGTCGTAGTCCTTGGCCAGCTTGCCGGTGAGGACTTCTTCCAGCTCGTCCCTGTAGACGGAACCAGCCGTTCTTCGGCCGTAGAGGTTGCCGTCCACTCGGAACACAAAGTCCCTGAAGTGGTCTCGGTACCACTGCTGGTCCTTTGCAGGCTGCTCCAAGACCCATTGGTCAAAGAGCTCGCGCCACTCCACAGGCGCGTACATGTAGACCGGGCGGCCTTCCGCCGCACCGCGGTGCGGTCCCTCCCACCCCTCGTTGTGTAGCGCTGCTACCTCAAGTAGGGAGTGACTCTCGGGCGTTGGCGTTGGGACGAAAACGTCCAAGCCAGCTTCCTGTTCTGGGCTGTAGCGGGCCTTGACGTCGGCACAGGTACACCTTGACTTGTACCGCCCTTTGTCGCACTTGTCGACCCACTTTGCCCTGAACAGCTGCGCCCCGCGCGGTACTTCAGACCGCAGCACGGGCGTGATAGCGCCTCGGTCCCACAGCTTTCTTAGCTGCTCCTTGCGTGCCTGCTCGACCTGCTTGGGGTCGAGCATCCGGTCTAGCAGGTCTGTCACCTGCCCAACCCACGCGTCCCGCTCGCCCTTGTGGTTGGTGAGCGGCGGGTCGGCTAAGGCAGCGATGTGCTGCCACACCTCGCGCTCTGTGAGCGCTCCTAGCCGCGGTGCCTTCTTGGGCTCCACCCGGCTCTTTGCTGCAGGCGGCTGCTGTGCTGCCGCTGCGCTCGCGGAGGAACCCGCAGAGTCGCGCTTCTGCCCCCCTTCGCCTGAGCCGTCGTTGGCGGCTGGGGCGGGGCTTGCCGCTTGTTGCGGCAGCGCGCTTGCTGCGGAAGGTCCTGCCTCCACGTCGGACGGCTCGTAGTCCGGTATTTCTGCGTTGGCCAGCTCCTCGGTAGGGCTGGCGTCCGGGAGCCTGCTGGCCTGCTCGGCCCCTTCGACTAAGAGGGCCTCGTCGTCGGGCCGCGGCCCGTCGCTGAAGAGCCAGGGCTCACCGGGCGGTTCTAGCCGCTCCGTTTCTTCGGCCGGCGTGGCCAGAGGGATTGGAACCATCATCGGCTCGCTGCGCTCTGCTGGCGCTGAGCGGCCAAATCTAGGGTTCCAAGGCAGGCCGCACGCTTTAAGAACGGCTGCCGTCTGGTGTCGGGTCTCCGGCGGGAGTCGCCTGACGCTCCTCACGTTGAGTGCGCCCGCTTCGGTTAGCACCACGTGGGAGTCGTCGCGCTCCAGCTTGCCGGCCCAGACCCCTTTGACCCAGCGCACCTGCGCTTTGTTCCCGGGCCTCGGGAGCTTAGCTAGAACGGTTTCTCCAAAGGAGCAAAGTGCTCCACCATAGTCGGTGCCAGTGGCTGCCCGATATGGTGTCACCCCGTCCGTCGACTTGGTCCCGAACCGGGCTTGCAGCCAGGCCACGTGCCTGACCAGCCACGGGAACAGGTTGGACGAAGTGTCCCACTCTAAGGCGGGGTAGTCCGCTCTTAGCTGCGAAAGCCAAGTGCGAACCTCGCCTGCTAGGTGTGCGTTCCTTCCCTCCACGGATCCTTGGCTTTGGTGTGACCCGCGAGGGGCGTCCCGAAGACGCACCCTAGCAGCTCCCAGCCGGCGGTGGACCGCACGGGCCACAGAGGCTATAGCGTTCTCTTGGTCGGCCTGCAGGGTGAACTTGTCGTACCCCAGGCGGTCCACGAACTGCTCCACAAGCCCTGCGGCGTAAGCCGCGTGTCTGTGCCCTTTGTGCGCCACGGGAACTGACAGAGTCCAGCCAGTGGCCCTGTCTGTGAGGTTCAGCACCGTGGCAAGCGACGCTTCTTCCTCAACTTCTTTCCCGTCCCGGCTGTAGAACTGATAATCCATGGTGACAAGCGGCGTCACCGGATCATCCGAGGGCTCACGGCGGCGGTGAGGGTCCTCGCGCGCCTTTCCCTCCACGCACTTCTCGCACCACGCCTGGTAGGGCGTGTGAGTGAGCTCGTGCTCGGCGCGTTCCTGCGCCGTGGGGTTGCGCGGTGCCCTTAGGCCGCGTGGCCTGGAGTCAGGCTGCTCGGCCTGCTCCTCTAGAGGGGCGGGGTTTCCCGCAGCCTCCTCCTCTTCAGCAGCCCGCTCGTAGGGTAGGAGGAACTGTGACCCTCTCTTGAGGATCGAGGCTCGGACGCCGTCGGGCCACAAAATGTGGCTGTCCTCTCGGTGGAGCCAAATGCCGCACCGGCCTCAACAGCACGGCTGATGCTGAGGATTTCGTCCTCTATGTCCTCGGTCACCTCAAAGTTGACCTTGCAGGACTGGCGCTCCTCCCCTAAGAGGAGGCTCGGCTGGACACGGCCCTTGGTCTTCAGGCGGCTGTTGTCCACCGAGTAAAGGCTCTTTGGTGGGCCCGCGGGCTGCAGGTCGGGAAACGCCTCGGGCCTGCAGACGGACGCACACGCCCCGGAGTCCACAAGAAGACTCCCCGACACCTTGAGGATTTTGTCCTCCTCTGGCTCGGTGTCGTGAGGCGGGGCAAACCGCACACCTAAGATGCGGTCGTCGCGCACCTGGCGCACCTGGCCTTTGCCGCCAGAGCCGCCGGTGCTTCCCCCAACTTGGGACGCGGAGGGACCCGCAGTCGCCAAGGAAGCTGTTGACACCGTCGTGGCCGCGTCGTCGGCCACTTGGGCCACCTGGCCCTTGGTGCCTTTGCCTTTTCCTTTGGCGTTGAACCAGCACTCTTTTACGGTGTGCCCCGTTTTCCAGCAGATGGGGCATCTCTCTTTGCCGTCTCTGCCTCCTTGCTGGTTCCCCTTTTTGTCCCCTTTCTTGCCTTTGTCGTTGTGGTCGCCCTTGCCCTTCTTGTGGTCTTTGTCCCCCTTTTTGCCTTTGTCGCCTTTGCCTTTTCCATCCTTCCCGTCTCGGTCCCCTATTCTGCCAATGTCCGTGGCGTTAGGATCCCTTCGGGAGGAGGCGGCGTAGCCCGCACTCGGGGTCCAGACCCTTTTGGCTTGCAAGTAGCTCACCACCACTTCCCTCACCTCGGCATAAGTCGAAAGACTCGCCGCGTGCATAGCGAGGTGTTGCCGAAGAGCGGTGGGGCTCTCGGTCACCAGCACTGCCCGCAGATCTTCGTCTGCTAGGGCGCGCCCTGCGCCATACTCGGAGGCGTAGCGGTCCACATCTGCCTCCCATTCCTGCAGAGCCAAGGAGAAGTCACTCTCCTTTGGCGGGAACTTCGGCATCAGCAGGGTCCGCCTCCAGGTGAGGTTCTTGGACTCGTTCTCTGGGTTGTGCTCCTGCCACAGGAGACGCCAGAGCTCGAACCCATTTTGGCCCTTCACTCCGCGCGCCAGCTTTACAGCTGTGGCGGAGTGGGTCCAGCTGCCCAGCATGCCGAAGAGGCGGACGCTAAGGGTCCGCACTTCCTCGGTCATGGCTGCCATTTGGAGTGGCGCCTTGCACTTTCGAGCTATTTCCAGCTCTGCTGGATACCTGGTGTCCACGACCGCCAGGTAAGACTCTGCCTGAAAGGCAAAGCGCTCCCAGTCGTCTCTCCCCTTAAGGGAAGTTGGGAGCCGCATGCTCTTGAGCAAGTGCCCTCCACCGCTCGCCTGCGACGCAGGGGCGGGTGCCGCCGTGGCGGCTGCCGCCGTAGCGGCTGCTGCAGCTAGGCCCTGTTGTCTCTGGGCCGACAACTCGCCAATCGCAGCCTGCAGCTGCTGCGCTTGGCTCTCCAGCAACCCCCTAAGGGTTGCGACTTCCCCGCGCAGAGCCTCGACCACGGGGTCGCCCTGCGGGGGCGGATAAGCCGGTTGCTGGCTCATCCCTTGAGGCGTCGAAGATGGCCTGGCTGATCTCGTCTAGCAAGACCAGGGCCTCTCCGTACTGCTCTGCCAGCCTTGGGTTGCCTTCCCAAGGAGTCTCTGGCCTGTTGCGAGCCGCGTGCCTGAGTCCGTTCAGGAACTGGCACGGTCCTTGGCCCTCGGAGCTCTCCTCTTCAGACTCCTCTTCCTCACCTTCGTCAGCCGGCGAGGTGGGCTCTAGCTCCTGCTCCGGAGCTTCCTCCCGAGGCGCGGGAGGTACCGCAGCCTCGGGCTCTGCTGGCCCTGGCTGTGCGGCCTTGGGTTCCTCCTTCAGTGGAGGCGGTGGTCCCAAGTGAGGTGGCGGCGCCTTCACCGTCGGTGCTTTGGCTGCCGGAGCACCTCTCGGTAGGGCCTTCGGCTCTGCCTCCGGGGTGGCCTCCGTGGGTCCACTCGCCGGGGCTGTTTGCTCCTGCCCAGCTTCGGAGCTGGGGCTTCCAGAGCTTTCTTCTTTTGCCTTGGCCTTCGGTGCGGCCTTAGGCTTTGCCTCCTCGGCTGGCTCTGCGGCCGCCTCTGCGGAGGCAGGCGGGGCAACCCGCTCTGCCGGCTCTTCCTTCTTAGCAGGGGTGAGCCCGCTAGAGGAAGAAGCGGGGCTTCCCGCTCTCCTTCGGAGTTGCTTCCCCCGAAGTCTGGAGTGTCCTCACCAGGCACGGGGCCTGTGAAGACTGGCACCGGCGCGGTGTCCAAGGAGGATTCCGAGCTCGGGCTCGGAATCTCCTGGCCGGCACCCGCAGGAGCTTGCTCCGGAGTGCGCGGCTCTGGGATATCAGTCCCCGGGCCCTCTACGAGGACGGTCTGTACCCTCTCTTTCGCGCCTTTCGGCGCCTCGGGCCTCGCGGTTGGCGCGGGCCGCCTGGGAACGACCACCTCGGTGGTTCTTCTTTTTCCCAGAACCTTGGGCAGGTTCTTGGGTCGCAGGCTTGCCCTTACCGGACTTGCCTGCTGGAGCTGGCTTGCCCTTTGCGGGCTGCTCTGCTCCTTTTGCTTGCGCTGCCTTGCCCTTTGCGGGCTGCGCAGCTGCCTTGGCAGGCTTGCCCTTGGTGGGCTTCCCTGCTCCCTTCTCCCCGCGACGGGGGGTACGGCTCCCCGACTCCGAGGCGGGGCGGCCCGCACTCGGGCCGGTTTTGCCTTTGCCCTTTTCGGGCTCGGCTGTTCTGCCCCGGTTTTGGTTTGGGGCTTCGGTGCGCTCGCCTATGAGAGGGCGGCGCGGTCGAGCTGGAGCTTCAGCGGCTCCGCTCCCCTTGGCACCCTTCGGTGCCTGGCTGGAAGATGCCTCCTCCTGCTGGGAGGTCCTCCAGTCCCACTAGGAACTCCAGTCGGAGTCCCAGTCCCACCAGCCCCACCACTCGGACGTGGCGGCTGGCGGGTGGCGGTTCGGCCCGCGCACCCTAGGAGCGTCGGGGCCTACCGAACCAGCTCCGCTACCATGCGCGGAGGTTGGGTCGCGTATTGGGCTCACTATTTTCACTCTGCAAAAGAGGGCTGCGGTGAGTCGCAGTCAGGTTAAAGCCCTTTAGCTCAAACCCTCTTCTCTCTACACTGTACAGCTACTTACCTAGGTTTCCTAGTGTAGCCTACAAAAATCTCGCAGATTAGCGTGTCCCTCTCACTGCCAAGGTTCGAGTCTGGCTTTTTTTACATCGCCACTTATTTCCTGGGAGCTTGGGGCTTTATTTGTGGTGGTTCTGGTTATTTTACTTTTAGTGGCCGCATTGGCAGGCACGTGTTTTCACTCCGACTGCAGGAACTGTCCCCGAGAGGGCCTTACGCTGACCTGCAGCCCGCCTCCGCGGGTACTTGCGTGCCGAGGGTTCGGGTGATCAAAGCTGCGTACCACGGTGCTTGTGGTGCTTCGTCGCTTGCCGCAGCTCCGGGTATGCTCTATGCGTGTGATCCAATCATGGCTGTTGTAGTTGATCGTGACCCGCGGTCGTTTCCGGACACGTCTACCTCGTGCAGTCCGTTCTTATAAAGCGACACAAACTACACATACAGAACAATTCGAGCCATCCAAAAATGAACGTTGGCTTTGACATGCTTTGACAAGTTTGAACTGACGCACACCATGTTCTCCTTGCGGCGAAGAAAGCACATCGTCGTCGGGCACGTGCTTAATGTCAACAGCTGAACCATGCTAAACCCAAACCAGCAAGTACGGTATTTTCATGCCCGTCGCTATACGGCACAAGGAAAGGGCACAAGCGCAAAGGATTGCAAAGGGTGAACAAAGCTCCGGACTCCGGACAGCAGCTCCACAGAGCAGAACATCCACCAAAGCATGGGTGGCCATACCGACATTCAAGAACCATGGCGTGATCAACCCAGCATAACCTAGCTTAGCTGAACCGAACAGCCACAGTTTCAATACGTGATGATACGACCCCTTTCCTGCTAGAGCTTCGTAGCGGACGAGTTAGTGGTGCTCGCCTCCCTCGGACACCTGTCCCGTCGGATTCGACGCTAGCCTCCTGCCACACGTACGCGCATTCAGAAACGTAGAACGGGTGGATGTAAAACCGCTTGCAAGGGCTGCGCTTGCTCTTGCCTGACACAAACGAGCATCCCGCGGCGAGATACGTGATCCGTCGACTGCCTGGCCATAGGCTCGGCTCGCCTGCTTGTCAGCACGTTGCTGGGGCTTGCCACCCATGCAGAGATGCCATACGTTGCCTTCCCGGTTTCCTGCCCGGGGAAGGCTGAGCAGCTGTCGCAGGCGGTTTGTTCCGTTGTGCGACTTCAACATGCACTCCGAACGGCAGGAGGCTCATGAGCCGGTATTTGGATTTGAATGATTGAGTTGTTTTTTCAACGTTGATAATGCTCACCGGTTTTCTCAATAGGACTCGTCTTCTCCAGAAGAATCGCTTCGTGTACGCACACTGTTCGTGCCCATGTTCAGCCCCGCACCCTACCGTGGTGCCCATCGTGATGGTTTGTAACCACGGCAGACGATACATCTTTTGTGGATGTGAAGCTCCGACCATACTGTAATCTGGAAGGGCCACTTCCCGCAAGAATCGCAGGCAGGAAGGTGTTGAAATGTTGTTGCCAGTTGAAGCACTACATTGAAACCCCAAGCCCGAAACCCCACACCTGTCGGAAGTGGAAGCATGCAGCAAGGCTCGCCTCGATGACCGTGTCCAAGTCACCGCAAATGGACTCCCGCCCTGGGGCGGAACCGAGCTCGTTTTCGACATCACTATTGTATTCCCTTTCGATGCATCAGGAGCCATCCTGCTTGCAGGTCCTCTACACCGGAGATGCGCTCGAGGAGCCGCGCTTGCGGCGGAGATGGCGCGCCACGAACGCATCATGCCCCAAAAGGGGTCCGAGCACATTGAGGCCTTGGGACTCCGGCGGGAGAGTCCAGTCGCCGACCCAGACGCTCTCTTCGCATCTCTTCGCCATCGCCAAGGTCGCTGATGTTGGGGGGCTCTTCGCCGGCAGCGTTCCAAATCCGCGTCCTGCCTTGGTGTAGGCGGATTCTGGCCCGGTTCCACAACGCATACGCAAGAGCATCGTAGAGCGTGCGGACGCGCTCGGGCGCGGCGACGATATAGGTATCGTCGAGGGACGCGAACACGCCTTCACCGTCCTGGAGGTGGCTCTGGAGGTCGCGGAGGGCCTCATGCTGCGCTAGCGCGTAAAGCGCGCGGGCATGAATGGATCCCCCTGTTCGCCGCCTTTCCCCTGCAAGATGTCATGTGCGTGATGGCAGTCATCGTACCAGGGTGCGGCGTAGAACTGGAGGGCAAAGGGCAGGAGGGGCTGGAGCTGCGGCCGCGTGTGCAGGGCGCCGAACATGGCAGCACGTGGTTGTATGTTCCCTTGCTGCATGCGGCTGCGGGTACTCTGTCCTCCGAAGCGGCATGAGCTTGGAACCAACACACGCATTGGTGCGTGCCGTGTCCTGTGCACAGCCGTTGCAGGTCGATCGGCTTGCCACCCTGCTCCACACGTTGGCGGAAGCCGAAAGTGAGGGCGCCGAGGATGCCGACGAATTCAGTTGTGCTCTTCGTGCACATCGCAACCAGTGGCCTGTCGTCGAGGAAGACTTGGATTTTGTTCCACGTGTTACACCTGCGAACCGTCGCGGTCATCACCTCAATCGAAACCGGGGGCCCGCATAGACCTTCCGAACATGTTCATGTATATTCATACGTTCGACGACATGTGAACCGAGCACCTGGAACACGCTCCAGACCAGATCACTACAATCACCACACTGCGGGTGTCCCTGGCACGACATGCTAACATCCACCAACGCCTCGGCAAAAGATGGGACAGCGCTGGCGACAACCCCCAAAACTACTTATTCGAAAAGGTGGCTGTGGGACGACACCCGCATCCTTGCTGGACAGCGGGTTCAACTTTGTGCAGCAGTCTGCTGGGAAAACTTTCGTTGCACGGGCCCGGCAGCAAGCGAGAAGGCGGACGAACGAGGCAGCCTCAGGACTCCAACGGCCTCCAACATCCTCCAACCTGCAGGGACAACAAGCCAGCACCTCTTCGAGCACAGCAGTTCGGGGCGGGTGCGTTCTTGAGCGCTGCAGAAGAGGCGCAGAGTGGCGCCATGGTGCTGCTGCTGGTGCCGGCGCGCAGCTTCCGCCACGCGCGCTAACTACCTCCTGCGCATCCTCCCTCCACCTCACCGCTGACTATGCAGCGGAACATGATGCAGCTGTCGCCCGGTGCCCTCCTGGAACAAAGAGAAGCCCTCCTTCCACCTAGCAGCCTGAGCACTGCCCAACTCGCTCAGCGGTTCGGCGGGCTCGGTCTCCGCTCCGCCAACGCTAACCATCGCTAACCGCTATGCAGCGCACTGGGCTTCCTGGTGCGACACCTTGCCCGTCATCCAGGCCAGGGCGCCTGCTGCGGCTGCCTGTCTCCACGCTGGCTTGCAAGACGATAGGGCTTTGCCCTCGGCAGTCGGAGCAATCCACGCCCAGACACAGCTGCGCCATGTCGGTTACGAGGCGCCAGAATGGGCCGCCCTCTGCTGCGGCGCCGTCGCCGTCCCCCCGCCCCGTGCTGACGACCGGCCGTTCCGGGGATGGCAGCGCGTCGCTGCCCGTGCGTGCGGCGAGCGCGCGTACGAGACGCATCTTGCTGACCTGACTCCTGCGTCTCGTGCGCTGCTGCTCTCGCAGGCACGTTCTGCCCACCCGCGATGACGTGGCCATCTCCAGTGCGCAGTTCCGTGTCCTGTTGCTGCGGCGCTTGCGCCTCCCCTTCCCGCTCGCACCGCGCAGATGCAGCTGCCACGGTGTGCTCGACTCGCTCGGCGACCACTGCACCGCCTGTGCAACGTCGGGCGTGCTCGCCACCCCCGGCGCGAGGGTCGCACGCCACGTGCGGTTCGCAGACATGAACCTTGGTGTTCCTGTCTCGGACGAGCGGCGCATCGAAGTTGTGGCGAACGGCCTGCCCCCTTGGCATGGTTCCCAACTCGCCGTCGATGCGACCATCGTCTCCCCCCTCACCAGACGCGGCGAGGCCCACCCGCGCGCCGACGTCCAGCCGGGCTGCGCGGTCGCCACCACCGCACGCCGCAAGCGCACCCACACCTATACCCCGAGTTGGACCGAGCACGCCGCTGTCGGCTAGTCGTCGTCGGCGTCGAAGTTGGCGGCAGGTTTGGTACCGAAGCAGTACAATTCCTGCGCCTCCTGGCTGGCCATCGGGCAGCGTCGGTGCCGGCCCACCTGCGGTCCGCTGCAGTCGCCTCCTGGGTCGCGCGCTGGTCCGGACTGTTGTCTGTCGCTGCCCAGCGCGCCTACGCAGCTACGCTCCTCGAACTCTTCCCTGCCGCCGAGCTCGGCGAAGGGCCCCCCACGGTGCCTGACCACACGACGCCGAACTATTCTTCTGCCAGTGAAGACCCCTTTCCGCCTGAAGGAGATTTGCAAACTGCCGAAACCGCTGCGCGTGCTCGAAGCACGTGGCACAGCCGGGGCCCGCCAAAGCAGCCCGATGCACGCTACAGACACATCAGAAACTCGTTTTCTTTTTTTTTTTGTTTGGCACCTTTTTGACGACTGCAACACAGGACGTCTGGGTCCCTGTGCTACCTGCGCAGTACGGGCGAAGGAAGCGTGGGGAAGGAGGGACTGCGCGCCTTCACCCCCAGCCGCATCGGCAATGACCTTATGCAAGGCAGGCATGGCTGCGACCCCCGGCGGAGCCGGCGGAAGGGTGTCGTCTTTGGGACCGCTTTCCGATACGAGCCAGCCCCGCGTCGTCAGTCTTACGCAGCAATCCCAGGCCTCCCGCAATCGACCTCTTTCTCCGGCATACTGCGCCGACGCTGATGACAGTGCGTGTGTTTGTGCGAGCAGGCGTGCGCTGGGCGCTCGCATGCAGCCTCCAGCGCTTCCATAATGGCTACAGCGGACTGCCCCATGATTCCATCCGAGCATGCGCGTGGAAGCTGTTCTTGCTGACGCCCTGCATGCTCCTCGCGCGGCCGACCGAGCAGGCATGGTGCTGGGCGCCGCATCCTGTTGATGCGACTGTAGCAGTAGGAACAAGGGCTCTGGCCCGCTCCTTGCGGCCGCACGCCACACGCGCTCCGCTTAGGCCAGCAGCCGACCTTGACACGGAAACAGCTGCCGAGCGCCGGCAAGAAACGGCCTGTGCGCGTGCACGCAGAGGCGAGCCTTCATGCACGCAGCCTGCTCGAAGCCAAGCGGGGGAGTGCACCCGGATTGTCC